CTCTCTCTCTCCCTCTCTCTTCATGTCTCCAACTCTGTGCATGATGTTCTTTCAAAGTGCAGTCTGCTGCATCAGCAGTGGCCAGTGTGTGTTGTGATTTGGCTGGCTTAGCTTCTATTGGACATCACCTTTTTTTCTACAGTGACATCCACCAATCACTAGTGCATTTGCAGATTGTGACAGATACAATTTTCCATATATGGTCAATGCTGTAAGTACCTGTGTGTAAAATGTGTAAAAGTGTGTGGTGTTGAACTGTCGTTTGTGAATTCCTTTTTTGCCCCTCAGGCAGAATTTCTTTTCCTCACAGGAATAATTGGCTCATGAATAGCTCTACAAAATTAATCTGGCGAAAAGTGCAGTATTGACTACCACAAATTGCCTTATTGCAGGACGTGCGCATCTTTTTTAGATTGCTTTTAGCTACTCTGAGATTCTGGGCAGAAGTCCCAGCAGAACCTGAAAAATGTTCCTTTTTTTCCCCTTCCATCTGGAATGGCAAATCAGTGAGCTGCTTTTAATGAAATATCACAGGTACATGTAGAATTAGGCAGGGATGGAAGACATATTCAGGTGCTTATTACTAAAGTAGAAGTAGCTGTACTGCATTACAACTAAAAGTCTTGAAAATGTGAGTAAAAGTACATATTATTAGCAAAATGTACTCACAGTATCAAAAATGAAAGATTTCATAATGCAGAACAGTGGCTCCTGTGAGTGTTATATATTTCATCATTGGATTACCATCACTCATGCATTAGTATGAGTAAGCATTTTACTGTTGTGGTTGATCAAAGCGAACATAATTTAAACTATTCTATGCACTGGGTTGGGTAGTTCTACAAAAGCTGTCAAATAATTGAAGTGGAGAACAAGTACAATCTTCTTTATTGTAGTGAATAAAAGTAAGAAATGGTCTTTCTGGCTGTTAAAAGACTCTCACAGCACTGTTCCAATTAGAATATTCAGAAAAAAGTACTTTCAGACATATTTGTTGGTATTATAAATGTCTTCTTTTGAAGTAATGGCGGTTGAGAATTGAAAAAACGGATCAACACAAATCCGTAAGCTTTTGAATAAACTTGTAACACAACGTGCGGCTGAAGCAACCATAAAGCCGAGCCCTCACTTGTTTTACATTTGATACAGAAGGCACAGCTGTCATGTATCAAACCAAGTCAGCTGACCGATGCAGTGTTGTGGTCTACGGTCGTATCTCCTTCTGTGAGAATTGTCTCTCTCCCTTCATAAATCGCTCTGTCTCACCTCCTGTTCCTCTATCTATCCGTCAGGACACGGCCATCGTCCACCCAGTCCCCATCCGGATGACCCCCAGTAAGATCCACATGCAGGAGATGGAGCTGAAGAGAACTGGCAGCGGTGAGACAACCTCAGCTTTTCCTTTGCTTATTGGCTGTTTTTATGGATAGCACTGTGATCTTTGAATCACTTATGCATGTGAGTTAAAGCTAATATGAAAAACAACTAGCACTGCAAGGCGTACCAGCACATTTTGGAAATGTATAAACAATCTGATTTGAGTGGCTAGAGCATGTTTAATGGCCCAGAACTTTGTGTCCCTTGCTGAGTTAGTGATGTGGGAGAGGTAATGAGAGGCTGCCATTTGTTATGAGTAAACAGAAACAAATGTGGTTAAACATAATCAGTCTGGATTTTTTAAATTCATAAACATGCAGTGGAAATGTTTTGTGGTCAGGCTTCTGAAGCTGCTACTAAAGATTTTTGACAACCCTGTATAGTTGACTGCAGTAGACTCAACACTTTTGTCGTCTCTGTTTCTCCAACCTTTAGACCACAACCACCCTACCAGTCCACTGCTGGCTAAACCTCCCGAACTGTCCGAAGAAGCCAAATTGCCCGCCTCCATGAAGTTTGTAACTGCCAACACTGTAGGTGAGTAAAGGATCGGCCGAAGAGTCCACGCTTACAGGAGTACTCAACCGATTTAGCATCACACTCCTAAAACATCGCCTGACTCACGATGGACCGTTTAAAAAAAGATCAAACTCAGTGTAGCAGAGCCAGAAACAACGCCGCCTTCTTCCTTGTCAAAACCTGGTTCCTACTTTACCCACAATGCAACTCGGCCGCTAAGAGTTTTCTCTGAGGTTCATGTGTGTTATGCATCTTTTTCTGAAGCCACAAATGGCTTTATACAACTTTAACATATGCAGCAGTATTAAGTGAAATCTGGAGCTCCCTTTTAGATAAGGCTGTGTTGTATAATGTATAAGACAATACACAATAGACACATATTCCATTTTTGGATTATTGGTGAGTAGGTTGATCTAATGTTTATGGGCTTTTTTTCCTGCCATGAAGGTGATGGTTACAGCAGTTCAGACTCCTTCACCTCAGACCAGGAACCGATCACAAGACAAAGGTCGGTGGCTATATTTCGTTTTTTAATGTTTATGTTGTTTTCTTTTGTCGGACATGCACTGTGGACATTTACCAGGCAATCACTACATGTTATCTTTTATCCACTTTCTCACTCACTCTCACACTGTTGTATCAGTAGTATCAGTTGGTGTTCCAGAGTGGTTTGGTGACCATTTACAGGTTCTGTTTATCTGTATCTTTGACCTTCTTCCTTCCTCTGCTCTGATAAATTACTCACAGAAATATAAATGTTTGTGTTCAGGTCTCAGTCGGGTACGTCTCCAGAGGCCCTGAAGGTGGTAGGCCCCCCTCCACCTCCACCCCGCCCCCACCCCTCTCATTCTCGCTCCTCATCTCTCGACATGAACCGCACCTTCGCCGCCACGTCTGCACCCGGACAACCGCAACCCTCTACTATAGCTTTCCCGCCTGCTGTGCCTCCTCGACCGCTGCCCACACAGGTAAGACAGATGAGGTCTAACTGCATCACACCATCACAAATCTTGCATCAAGTGTGATCTTGATCATGAATAAAGGCCTTCACTCCTCCCTTCCCTCTCCTACCTTCTCTCTAGGCGTCAGTGCCGCTCCCCGGGCATCGTGGAGAGGCCGAGGTCGCGCCCGGAGGCGGAGCGGTGCTCACCACCACCTCCCCCCAACAGATTCCTCAGCAGCCCAATTTCGCCGACTTCAGTCAGTTTCAGGCCTTCGCTGCATCCGAACAGCCTTCCAGCCTGCCAGAGGTCGATATACACAGTGAGGCTGGACAGGTAGGTCTTTACCTGGAGTGTGTCTCGATTTCTAAGTAGCTGTTCATGATAAACATGTATAACAAATATAACAAATAATTTCCACAAACTCGCTTTTTAGAATTCATTTTTGATTTTCATTTTGAATGTTGTTTTTGTTGCGGTCACAATCTGTTGTGCATTGGACCAAATATTGACTCAGATAAGTGTGGTGTCTACTGGTGGTGACTTTTTAATGTTGTAATTATGTTTCAATTACGTTTCCTCTCGCTAGAGTCATAATTCAGTTGATACCCAGTTTGACCTGCATGTTTTTGAGCATGGATATTGTGTGTCTACAGGCGGAGAAGTCGTCAGAGGGAGCCGGCCCTTTGAGAACAGTCAAGAGTGATGGCCAAGCAGATGAGAGATCTTCAGCGACTGTCAACTCTGTAAGTCAACATCTTCTATAAACTGAAAACATAATCAAATACGTCAGACAATTCCGGACCCAACTGAACAGGGTCTGAAAAATGAATGGAAGGTGCATTTCATGTCTTGTCTTGTCATTGGTAATTCATTTCTGTGAATACATTTTGAGAATATTAATATTTTTATTAATCTTACAGAAGCTGCTGATCACATAGAGATTGTTTTGCCTGTAAATGACATAAAAAGTATAAAATGCTGATCAGTTTTCCAAAACCCAATGTCTCAAACGGCTTGTTTTGTCTAACTAATTGTCCAAAATCCATCAATATTAAATATAGTATTTATAGTATAGTGGTATAATTATCAAAAAAAGATTCTGATTCGGAAGAGAGACTAATCGATTCATCAACTTATCGTTTCTGCTCTAAATACATTTGCTAATTAACTTTTAACTTAAACGGCATAAAGACAGGTGAGACCTCCTTCTTTGATTTTTTTTTTTTTTTTAACACCTCTGAAATTATCTTGGATTTCCCATCAGGCCAAGGTTTCGTCCGGTCCGCTCGCTCCTCCGCCAAAACCTGTACGCCGAAGGTTGAAGTCTGAAGATGAGCTTCGACCGGAGGACGAGCAACACGGTCCGCAGAAATCAAACGTCATAGCTGCCGTCCTGGCCACTCAGCCCTCCATCCCCAGGTAGGAAACACGGTTGTTTGGTTAATAAGACTTTTATAACCAATTAATAATTTGTTTTGGTATGGATCACGTTTGAGTGAAAAGTGTGTATTTGCGTGTTTTCAGGTCAGTAGGAAAGGACAAAAAGGCGATTCAAGCTTCAATCAGAAGAAACAAGGAGACGAACACAGTGTTGGCGCGACTCAACAGTGAACTGCAGCAACAGCTGAAGGTATGCGGGATGTGCATGTAAATGCATCACATTTCTGCATTAAAATGTAAAACAAAACTACACCATGTTATATGTTTTGTTGAGTTGTGCACTTCAAGGTGAAATATAGATAGATATCATGCATTTAAATGTTCTCATTCTGACTTTTTCTTCTCTGGTGTAAAAATAAAAATAACTCGTCATTTTCCAGGACCTGCTTGAGGAGAGGATATCCCTGGAAGTCCAGCTGGAGCAGCTCAGACCTTTCTCCCACCTTTAACCAACGTGAAGAGGAAACCTCAACTGTAGTTCATCTGAAGCAACGCTCGCTGTGACTCCCCCTCCATCGCTCCCTCCCTCCTTCCTTCCTTCCTCCTTCCTTCCACCATCTCGGCTTTCCCTGGAGGCTCCGACCTGCTGCAGGGTGCTCCGTTAAAACTCTTACGCTCAACCACACACACTTACTGTTCATAAACCGGAGGGACCTGAGAGCGCAGTCTTACCAAGAGGAGGAGGCAACAGGAGTGTGTGGGGGGGGGGAACTGGCACTTTTCAATTTTTCTCTAAAGAGAGGTGAACGTGAGGACGACGGCAGACTGAGAAACGGTTCGGAGTGGGAGACAAAGCGCTCCCACTGCGAGTGTGGTCTGAAGACAAACTGCTGGTGTCCGATACTCTCTGAATGACTGAAGGAGAAAGGCGGAGTGTGTTTGTCGTGTGTTTGACTGTATTTGTGCTCCTGTTTTGTGACTTTCTTGAGGCTAGCACCAATATGTTTATTTTCTCTTGGGGTACAGACTCTGCCACACCAAATTTCTATTTAAAATCAGGCAACTTTTAAGTCAATTTAAACAGTTCAGTATTTGGGGGAAATATACGCTTCTTCGCTCTCTTTAGGCGTAACATGGGAAGATCTATATCAATCTTGTGTGTGTTTATTGCAGAGATGGAGTCTGGAACTAGCTTAGCTTAGCATAAAGACTGGAAGCAGAGAGCCTGGCTCTGTCCAAAGTTCAAAATTACATCTACCTGCACCTCGAAAATTCACAAATTACCGTGTTGTCTCTGGTTTGTTTAATCCGTATAAAAACAGAAAATAAAAACAACTATTTGT